TTGTTGTTGTTGCAGAATTATATACACATTATTTAACAGTTGTGCCATCATCAGACTTCAAGGCTGAGCAATAAGCAGCTTAACCTGTAGTGATTCCAGTTAATGAATAACCATTACATGTTGTTTTTGTAGTGATACATTTATTATTTGTAAATTAACAGTTTCCATTATTTAATTTTTTATTACAATCTGCAGCACTAGTAGGGGAAATGATCTCTTCACAAGTATTTATATCAGAACATGTTGTGCTTGTAGCTGAATCATATGAACATTTAGTTGGAGTAACATCATTAGTGAACATTCCATTGCACCATGTGAGTTTAGCTGCAGCTTCTGTTATACTATTTGGGATTGTGTATAAAGCACAAGAATTTTCAGGAGCATAACAATAACTTGCTCCATTTGATTTACATGAAGATGTTCCATTATAATTTTCGCATGTAATATTAGCTAATGTACTCACCCATAGATTGCATGCTCTAGCTGAGCACTTACCTGTAACAGTTGGATTATAACTACATAAACTGCCTGTTTTTGTAGTGATTGTATTACAATAATTCTACCTCTCGGTATCATCAGTGCTAGTAAATGTATATTCTGCACAAGTACCTAAACTTTGTATACAAGCATTATCTCCAAGTTTAAATCTGCAATCAGCATGATATGTTAAACAATCATTGTTTGAGGTTACTTCAGTTTTTAAACTGCATGTAGTACTCTTTGATATACAAGGTTCTAATCTTGTGCATTTATCAGCTGCTGAATTTCCAGTAAATGTTAAACATTTATCAGTTATTCCTTAATATGCAGAGCATAATGATGTCTTAGGAATACATCCTGTTCCTTTTGTAACACAGCCTGGTAAAAATGTATCACAAGCTCCATCACTATCACTGGTTGTATCATCATAACATGATTTATCTCTACATTTTCCACTTGCCCCTTTATAACATGGTTTACTTCCATTTCCTCCAGTAAATCCTGGGCAAGTTGTTGCATCACCTGTATAAGCAGTACATTAGGCACTTTTATCAACACAACTACCATTTCCATCATATAAACATCCTGTCAAAAATTCTTCACAGGTGTTATTATCTGCCATACCTGTTGCTTAATTACATTATTTATTAGTACAAGGACCAGATGTAGCACTTGTATTCCAACATCTAATAGTCTTATTTCCTTTAAATTTATCGCATTGTTCTGGAGTACCTGTATAACTTGAACATTATGCAGTATCAATAATACAACCTTTACCTTTTGTTACACAACCTGCTAAATAATTACTACAATCAGTATCACTAATATATTCGAGATATGAATCATCACAAGTTTTTGTTTTACAAGCTGTTGTTTCAGTTGCATTAGTATCATTTGTACATTTGGCTTTATAGCCTTAGCATGTTGATTATGTTCCCTTAAATTATGCAGCACAATTAGAACCATCAACACATTTAGTACCATTAGTAACACAACCTGGAAGTAATGTATTACAAGTAGTATCATCAGTTGCAGTGAAATCATCACATTTGGCAGGTCTACATGTATTTGATTCCCATTTACATGATCTCTCATTTATTTTAACACTTTCACAAACAGATTTAGACTATGTTAATAATCCACAACTTGTTTTAGAAACACAGATTGAATTCCATCCACAATTATCTGTTCCTTCACAAGTAACTTATTTCACAGTATCTTAACAAAGTGTTGGTGATACACATCCAGCTCCAGTTGGTACACATCCACTTTTGTATTCTTCACATTATGGTTATGAAGTATATGATGTTGGTGCTTCAGTACAAACTCTATCTGCACATTTTCCACCAGTTCCAGCTTTACATCTACCATTTAATCCATACAATGAATTACAAGAAGTTCCATCAGCATCAGTAAAAGAATATGATGAGCAATTAGATAATGTGGCCACACATCCTTTTCCAGTTGTCTTACAAAATTATTAAACAGCTAGACATTAATCTTTTGTTTTAAAAGTTTCATTACTATCAGTTACACAATCTTTTAGTACACATTTAGCTGTTGTTGTTGAAGTTCCTTTACAATTACCATCTAATCCTTTTATTTAAGCACAAGTAGTAATTGTTCCCTCATATGTATTACAATTACCTAATGAATCAACACATTATCTTCCATTTGTTTAACATCCAGTTTTCCATTTACCACAATCTTCATCAGTTGTAGCTGTTTTTTCACTGCATAATCTAGCTCTACATTTAGTACCTGTAGCATCTCCAGCACAATCACCATCTGTACCAATATATCCTATACAAGTTATAGCATTTCCAGTATAATTTGAACAACTTGGTCTTATTGCAATACATCCCTTTCCTGTTGTTAAACATTTATCCTAATATTTACCACAATCCTCATCAGTGTTAAGGGATGTATCTGCACCTGTGCATACACGAGGTCTACAATTATTACCTTCAGGATTAAATTCACAATTTCCATCTGAACCTCTCATTTTTGGACATGTTTCAGAAGTTCCTTAGTAATTATTACATGATGGAATTGAATCAATACATCCAGCACCTGTTGTTTTACAACCAGCTTTCCATGTATCACATGCTCCATGAGTTGCAAGTGAGGAATCAGCCTCAGTACAATTATATTCTCTACATGTTTCTCCTTCTAATTTACATTTGTATGGACTCTTTAAACTAGGTGTGGTTTCACATTATTCTTTAGTATATCCAATACATTCAAGTGCATTTGTGCATGTTGTTCCATTTGTTATACATAGATTGGATATGTTTTAGCAGTCTGAATGTGTAGTTTTGACATAAGCTGAACATCCTGTGAAATGTGTGCATTTTCCTTCAATTAAGGCACATCCAAAAGTTTTAGCACAATTAGCTGTCTCTATTGTTGAACAATATGGTGTATAAGTAACTGGAGGAGGTGCTGTAGTTTTGCCACAAGATCCTGGTGTTGTGGCAGTTTTCTCAGTCCAAGTACATCCAAGTTTGGATGATTTACAATCTGAAGAGGATTTAAATTATGTGCATTCATCGCATTCATCTGTTTTTGTAACAGTCACTTACTTAGTTATTGTAAGTAGAATAGCTATTAGAAGCAAATATTTGATTTGCATTTCTTTATTTAGTAATTTAAATATTAAATAATTTCTATTTAGTATTTAAATAATAAGGATATTTAATTTTTTTTTTATTAAATCTTAAATCATAATTTTATAGTTTTCTTATAGTTAATTTCATTTTTAAAATCAAATCTGTTTAAAATCTTCATTATTATAATTATTATATTGATTTCACACACTCTAAGAAAGAAAAAAAATGAAGTTTTTTTGAGTTATTTTATAAAATAAGCAAGATGCTGAATCTCTTATTCATAAATATTATATTTATATCATCAAAGAAAACATTATGATTGAGAATTCACACTTTAGAACAACATTTGCTTAAAAAACCTCATTGATAATAATAAAAGAATATCATCTTACAATAACATTAGGCTAAGTAGTGTTATGATTAAATGATTAGAGGAATATTTATAGAATATAAAAAAAGAAGAAAAAATCACATAAAAATATTGTAATAGAGTTGCTTGAAAATATAATTTTAGTATATAAGTCACCAATCATAGCCTCTAGATGTATGTCTTTCTAATAAGAATAGTATAAGAATTTTGCTCATCAAAAATCTGTTGGATTATTTTAAATATTTCTATTTGATTTTTGTAATGTTCTCTTCTAATAAAAGTAAGTATCTTACTTTAGTAACATATATTAGCAACTACTCTATAAGTAAAATAATATTTCTTATAATTTTTTGTATGGAGCATTGCAAAAAGTCTAGTTTTATTGATATTTCAAAATAAAATTTGATGAAAATATCATTATTTCAAATAGAATATAGTGAATAATATTAACTGACGTCTTAATATATAGCTCTTTATAATCTATGAGTGTTGAATAATCATGAGTAATTTTAGTTTGGGGAGCACACTTTTCACATCTAACGTTACCGAAAATGATGGTTAATATTAAAGGAAAAATTTACATTTATATATAAAATAATTTTTATAATAATTTATTTAAATTATTTTATTCATTTTTAATTATAAATTATAATATTATACCTTTTTATAACAGCTCTAATATTAAAAATTATTTTGATCCTAATTGTTATTTTCTAATTACTCTTGAATTTTCAAATATACACAAATGTAGAGTAAAATACAATAATTAATCTTAAATATTAATTATGTCTGTATAATATTACTATTTAACTAAGCCTGGCTATTACGTCATATTTTATAATATGAGAATTATTCAAACAAAGTCTAATATAAATAGAGATACGATATCAATTTTTTAGAATTTGATTAGTTATCTATAGTATTATTCCAAATTGAATAACAGCTTCTTTATTATGGAGAAATCACTAGTGTATAAAATTATTTTTATTTTTTGCATAATATATGTTATTGATTTTTTCAAATAATTTAATATATTTTTTTTCTAGATTGTTCTATAAAATAATTCTATTTTTTGAATGCTGTAAATGGCTTTTCATATTGGTGGGATTACCATCAATATTAATCAACGCTTAATTATTTTTCATAATAATTTGATTATGATTAAAATAATAAAATAGAAATCATTCTAATCTGAATTATGATTTTAATAATTTATTATAATTTACAATATTTATGATTGAAATGAAAATGATTTTAAGTAATATTTTCAACTGATTTCTATTATTATTAATTATATATTAATTATGATAATTTTTTTCAATATATTGAATCAAAATATAAAATTGACTATGTTGAATATCAATGAATATAATCACTAATCCTCCTTGTGTTATTTATTGATTTCATATCTTTAATTCAAATGGATCAATATTATTAATTAATTAAATTAAATTAAATTATTTATATATATATCAAATATCACTATTTATTTAAATTCTTTTAGTCGTAGTTTATTAGTAAATTAAATTATAAAATAAATGCAAAAGATGAAAACAGGGATGAATGGATCTGATAAAACCAAGTGCAAACCTTAGAATCCATAATAATAACCCAATACTTAATAGGCATAAGAAGTTATTAATTAAGCTGTCAACAATCCATAGAATAGTTAGAAAAAAAAATGATTGGGAATTGATATTATTATATATATATCATATTCCATATTGGAATAATAATTCAAGCTGTCCAATACTATTGACAATATCCTATTCTTATTGTAATTATAATTTCTCATTTCTTTGATGAGGTTCAAAACGTTTAAAAATTACACTCTTAAAACTTGAAATTTATTATTTCTTTTATAAACATATATATATATTTATAGAATTCAATATGTATAATCACAGATAGTAATTATGACAAGGATATATAGGGATTAAAAATATAATATTTAAATATATTTCTGGGTAAAAACATTTCTTAAGGATTTACAAAAATTGATTAAAACATGAATATTAATAATTATCTTTGAATTACATCAATGACGATTTATTATATATTAATTTGATATATATATATTATAACACATGAGAAAATTTAAATAAAATTCAATTTGGTTTAGTATCTAAAAATTTTTTTACAAATAATTTAATTGTAAAGATAGTTTATTTTAAACCTAAAATAATTGAACTTAAAAGCAATAATCCAATATGAAAAAATCCTACAGTTGCAAGAATATCTTGATTTATATACTCTCTGATAGTATGAAAGTAAATTATTGAAGTTAATATAAAAATAGATACTGTCCCTTCAATGAGGATTGATAGAATTTTAGCAAATTTATCAACTTGTTTAAACTTATAAATAAAAAAGCACTAACTAAAACTTCCAATAAATAACAACAATGTTTATAAAACTTAATTCTCTTATACTATTATTAAGACAATACTAAAAAAAAATGTTCTACAAAGTTCTAAAGTCAAAAATATTTGATCTAATCTTTAGATTTTATCTATTAATTTATTAGGTCTGCAAGATTAAAAACAATCTATAAATACATATAAATATGTTGTTATGATACTTAAACTAAAAGTAGATTCAATTGTATTTCTAATACATTAACTCTTATCACTATACAAATATAATATAGATTTGAATAGTAAGTCCCAAGAATTTAATAAAAGAAGTAATTTTATCTATTTGTAATTAAAATAGTATTTCTAAATTTATAATAATTTAATTCCCTTCCGAATTCCTTTTAAAGATTTAAATGCTACTTTTGAAAATAGGTTATTATTATTTTATAAAAATGATATCAAATATTAATTGGACATTAATTTTTCAAACACTTTATTTAATATCTTACCAGAAAACATTATCAATACAATTCCAAAAGTTTGGAATATTTAAGGACAAACGTTAGTAAAGAGACTAGCTTCTAATTCATAATAAAGAAACTTTCCTTCAAGTTAAATAAATTCATCCTTTTATAAGATAGGATTAATAAATTAATCAATATTAAAGATCTACAAATATGGCCCTACTGATATCATCTCAGAAGCTTAAAAATATATTAATAAGTTGTCTGGATACTCTTAATTGATAAACTTAAGAAATGACTGATATTATACAATATTAAGTAATTCCATCATAAATGTAGATTCTCCAGAAATTATTGAAAGCACACCAAAAGAGATTGAAGTTATTACAACAGCTTTGCTTGTAATCTGCATTTAAACAGATCTTAATTTTTGAGATTATTCTAATATCATAGGCATATTTAAGGTTAGTTTGTAATCAGTAAGATTAACACTCTAATTATTTAAATTAAAGATTTCTAATAAAGGCTCAACAATTAAAGTTGGTTTTATTGAAATTTGATGAAATAATTCGATTACTATTATATACTCAACCTTTGTTATTTAATTTGAAAATTCTTAATCTTCAAAAGGAGTACATTAAATTTTATATAGATCTCCTTCTATTTCTTTAATATATATATTGAATATTTCTTGACATTCTGTTAAATCACATCTAACTTCTTAATCAAAATTAATTTTAATTAAATATTATTCATTTTTCATTCCTAAATTATTCAATTATAACTTAGGACTTTCAGAATAAGCACATTCAAAATTCTTACAAATCCAATTATTATGTGAATTTTCTAAAATAGAACTAAAATTATCCTCATGTTCAAACACATAACATTATTAATTCAATAATATATACCCTTAAATGCATTAAGTGCAAATTCCTTTATTACAAGTATGACAATCAAGCACACATTTATATTTACATTCAAAACATCCATCATAATCAATGTCATTACCATCATAACATTCTATATCATAATTCACCATTAATTAACCACACTAAAATAGACAAGCACCATCAACAACAATTCTACCATTTGGGCAACTAAATAGACAAATTCCTTTAGAGCATTATAAACAATCCTGACTACATTAATATTAACAATTAAAACAACCATCATACATTATATTATTGCTATCATCGCATTATTCATACTCAGGAATTACAATTCCATCACCACATATAGATATACATATTTCATTTTTATTTTCAAATCCTTTTTCACATTTTTTACAATGTACTGAATTACATTTCAAACAATTTGCTACACATTCAAATTTGCATAAATCACATCCATCAGCTTAAAATTCATTTTCATCATCACATTCCTCATTCGTAAATGGAACAACTAAACCATCACCACAATAAGGTTCACAAATTTACAAATTCAAAACAAATCCTATTTCACAACTATAACAAATGCCTAATATACAATTGTTACAGTATTAATCACAACTAAATTGACATTAGAAACATCCATCATATTAAATTTCATTGCCATCATCACAAACTTCTCCCATTTATATTAACTTATCTCCACATATTGATTCATTTTAATAATATTATACAATTCCATTTTAAATACATTCATTATTAAATATGTAACTTCCTTCTAAACATAAACTACAAATACCAAAATTGCAGAATAAACAATTAAAATTACAACAAAAATTATCATTTTCATTTACATAATCATACTTATCTAATTATTAATTTTCTTGTATTTGATGTAAACAGTTTACTTTATAAGCCTCAAACTAATAATCCAAGTATATTTAATTTTTCAATAATTAACAATAATATTGATAATCATTTACAATTGTATCCAATTATGTATCTTCTATATATAATTAAATATATTAAATGATATCAGATGATTAACATAGTTTAATAATTGAATTGTATTAAAAATCCTTTTTACATTATTCACAAATGCCATCTTTACATTTATCACAATTTTAATCACATAATTCTTATTAATAATCATCATATAAACTTTCATTATTATATTAATCAAAATTTGTATCATAATCAGTTATAATTTCTTAAAATGTTTGAATATCCTTACATAATCCATTAATAAGAAAGTAGTTTTATTTACATTTTAAGCATATTCCTTATTCACATATAAGACAATCACTACTTAATATCAAATGACAATTCTTATAATTTAATTCATCTTCACTCATTGCTAAGTATCCATATTCCCTATAAATTCCACATTATTTATTCATAATATCATATTAATAACCCATTTCACATTCAAGACAAAGATCCTTAAAGAAATAATTACATCTTAAAGGTTTTTGATAAATACATTATATACAATTTTCATCCTAAATTTCACATTCTTCTTCTTATGTAAGAATTCCATCTCCACATTATGAGACACATATTTATTTATTATCCAAATGATACCCATAATTACATTATTAATTTAAATTTAATTCTTAAGAATAAGAATAAGAAAATAGTTTACATCTATTTTCAATTATATTAAAATAAGCATAATCTTCACATTTTTAACAAATACTCTTAATACTTATTTGACAATATTCTAATTACTCTAAAAATATAGAAGATTGTCTACATTCTTACTTATTAGGGGTTAATTCATAACCTTATTAACAAAGATAGCATGTTTAAAATTAACAAAATTAACATTTATGATGACATTAAAATAGATTCTTAATTTAAAATCCATTGAAATAGATTAATTCACTAAATAATATGCATATTTATTAATTTATATCCATATCTAACCCTAAAATTGATAAACATTTCTATATGGCTTAATCTTCCTCATTTTCATATAAATAACAAACTCCTTAAATGCAACTAAGACATGATTTAATACAACTAAATCTACAGAAATGGCAACCATCTCCATAAATTAGGTTTCCATCGTCACAATCTTCATCTTCAGTAATTATTAAGTCTCCACATATAGAATGACATACATTATTTAAATTAACGTATCCAAGTTGACATTCTAAACAACCCTTTCCATTCGTATTACAATTGATACAAACACTTTAACACTTTGCCTTACAATTTTGGCATCCTCTATAAGGTAATATATGTCCTGATTCACATATTTCAACACTTAATTTTATAGAGTCTCCACAAACAGGTTCACATATCTTCTATTTAGATATGCTATATCCATAAGCGCAATTGTTACATGAACTATTACACATATCACTATTATCAGTATTACCATCATCACAATACTCTGAAAAAAATCCATAGAGACCATTAACAAGTAATCCATCTCCACAAATATTTTTGCAATAATATTATTCAGGTTAATAACCTGGTTCTTCACAACTTAAACATGTATTAGTAGAGAAATCACATGATGAACAACCCTTTCTACAAAAATATCTACAATTATGACATCCATCTGTGTCAATAGTATTATTATCTTCACATTGTTCACTTCCAACTATCAATCCATCTCCACATTGTTCTTTACATGTCCAAATATCGGTTGATGTATCAGTATACCATCCAAGAGTTAAACATTCAAAACACTTTCCCAAAATGCATTTAGTACAAGCAGACTAACATTAGTATTTACAATTGTAACATCCATCATATTGTATATTATTACCATCTTCACATTCTTCATCACCTGAAATTATTCCATCTCCACAAATATCTGGACAAGGTAGAGTAGTTGTTTAATCACAACTCTAACAATGTTTTGGACATTGAAATTAACAATTATAACATAAATCATCTAAAATATTATTGTCATCTTCACATTCTTCATATAGTTCTATCTATGAGTCTCCACATTAGGGCTAACAATTATTTTTTATTAATATTTAACCAGAATTACAAACACTACAAATAATGGTATGCCATATTTTTTAATTATTATTGCATAAATTATAACATTATTATAACGAACTATCTTCATCATTTGGACAATCTATTAACAATCATATATTTACTTGTACAATTATTATTCACTTCATAATATCCTGGTTCACATTCACATTTCAATCCTCTCAATATTCTTTTCTATGTAAAATCACAAGTCAAACATCCATTTATTGTAGTTCTAAAACAAGTTAAACATGTTTAATGACAAACAGCACATGTATTAAGTGAATCCTCATACGCTGTACCTTATTTGCATTTGCATATTGAATCAACTTTCTCAATATTGCTAATATTTTAACATTCTAGACATTCATTTGGTCCTGAACAAGTTTTACATAATAAATGACATCTCAAACATTAAGGATTTGTTGATACTGAGTAATATCCATCTAAACATACACATTCTCCATTTAAAAGAGCTCTAAATTTAGTGATTGAACATTATAAACAGAATGATTAATTTAAACATTATTCACATTATTATGGACAACTTACACATTGATTTTCAAATTCATATTAATTTTTTTCACATACACATCCTAGTTTAGTCAGAATATAAGTAGATTTACAAGTTATACAATCTATTTATGATTTACAAGTTAAACATTAAGAAGGACAATTTATACATTTTAATTAAAAATTATCATAAAATTATTCACTTTGACATTCATCCTAAGATAAATTTATTAAATTTTTATCATATTATTCCCATTCTAAACAAGTATTTTAATCTGTACATTCTAAACAATAGGGTTAACAGTAATGAACAACAATATAGTAATAATAGAATCCACAATATGCTTATATTGGTTCATTTTTTTCTCCATAACATTCCCATGTTATTGTTAAAATATTTTATGAATGAGCAATTTTATTTCTTATAATATTTTAACTGCTCTTAGAATATTAAAAAGGTAAATTATCATCAATTGTACAAATAAATCTGCTTTCTGAAGGGAAACTAGGTCCGAAAATAATTTAAAATTAAATAGTAATGCTATGGTGTGGATTATCAATTTAATAAATTCTTTAAAATACAGCCTGACTCCAAACATATTACCCCCCAAAGACTCTTATATTGTTCCAATAAGAATATAGAATATCTTCTCCTTTTAAAAAATTTACTCCCTTTTAGGAGAGTAATTAGTATTAAGAATATTAATCTGGAGCATCATGGTCATATTTCATCAAATATTTTGAATCTAACAAATAATATCAATTTAATTACAAGGTATTTAATCTTCTAAATCCTAACAATAATCTCCTACAATTTTCAAAGTGGGAGGATTAGAACATCCATAAATACAATTACCGTCCTTATCCACAAAATAATTAGTTTTACATTTTTTACATTGATAGGATACTTCACATATCTGGCAGTTTAATGGGCAAAGTCCATTTGTAATATGGAGGGATATTAATCCCCATCCCACAGTTGAATCACTATGATAACTAATAATATTACGTAAAGTTTCCAATAGCCGAAAAGTAGAATTGATATTATGGGATATAAACAAACATATAGAGATCATAATAAGAACAATAGGAGTATGAGTTGCAAGCACCAATATTAGATATTTCACTAATTTTAATTCCGTGTGTTTAGATTCCTTAAGAATCTTTATAAATAGAACTATAGTAAGTGTTGTTAATCAAAAATCTTATTCCTCCACCTAGTTATAAATTATTGAATAATATTAATTTAATTCTCATTCCATAGGAATAGGTAATGGTAGATGTGCTTATTTCTTATATAAGTCTACCAATTCCAGAATAATATTTAAAAATGCCATAGACGTAATGATATGCATAAATATATTTTGGTGATGTGTCTACATGTAATGGGTCATATATTAATTGCCATCTCAACATTTTAGCTGATGATATAGAATTATCAAACTGTACAATTACAGAATCTAAAATAAACTTTTAATATTACGTTCAAATTCTTAACAAAATCCATTTGAATATCTTAATTTCTCAAATTTACAATAAAACCTGCATCCTACCTATTTTTCGTAATACTAGCCATTTGAACAAGAGGGACATTGATTATTTGTCGGTGCTCCTGAAAAACAAGAGGTGCACTAGTTTTTCTCTGGACCTGTACATGAGCTACATGAGGGATAGCATTGGGTTGATTTTTTCAATATCATGATCGTTCTGATTGAAACAGATCCAGTATTTGTATTAGACTATTTGAAATTTATCTACCCTGATTATGTGCTTGGTAGAATGAAATTAATTGTCCTTACATCAGTTTAAAGGGAATCACAAAACCCTTGTGTAATTGGATATTAATCAGGTGAGGAATATTTAAATTCATGAAAAAATGAACCAATTTAAAAAACTACTTTATCATTGTCCCACTTACCTTGAAAGTATAAATCAAATGATATAAAATATCCACTTTAAAAATTATTAGTATAAAGACGATTAATTGTGTTAAAGGTGCTATCCATAGTGATATAACTTATGGAAGGTTATTTACAAGTAATAAAATTAGCTGTAATGTCTGATGTCCCTCCCCCACGAAAGTATTCTGTATAATAATAGCTGCACCTGCAACAAGTTGAATATTGGTATATATTTTAGCCATAGAGAAACTAATGGACAATTACCCACTAAGAGTTGACTATGTAAATGATTAACATTATCATCATAAGTATAAAAAAATAATTAAGAATCAATCTAAAATTACATTTTTACATTTATATCATCTGAAATAATGTTCATATTTATGAACACATAGAAGTATTCTATTTTTAACATTTAAAAGATTTTAGAGATATATTTCAGTAATTTTTATAAAGAAAACCCTTATGAGTTGAAAAAATGCATTAGAATTAAGATTTATAATCTAAAATGCTTAAAAGGAAATGATATTTGAAAAATTTTTATTTTATCATTTAATAATTGTATATATAAAAATAAACAAAATCATAATTTGTATTTGCATTCATAATGAAAATAATAAGAAATTAATTAAAAGTTCTTATAAATTAAATATAAAAATAAAAATAAATAAATAAACTAAAAAAAGAATAGAACCAGCTTTAAGACTCCATTATATGAATTATTTATATCCTTATTATAGCCAGACTTTCTAGACAGCTATCCAAGTATTTTCCTTGTTCTAGAAAGTCTAATGGGAGTAATTTTTCAAAATCTTTTTTTTCAGTAAGTGGAGGACTTTTGATAATGTCTTTTAAAATAATATTCTACTTAGTAGTATAAAATAACTTTTAAACTACTAAGAAAAATCTTTGTGGTGTTTAAGACCCTTGGGTAAAGAATTAAGTATCTCTTGTACACCCTGAAATTTAAAAGTAAGGACGGAATACGTAATCATTAGAATTAAAATTGCAGGGAAATTCTAGCAATTTCAAGTCGGGGAACTCTGAAAACCTTCCAAGAATAGAAGATTTGAGGATTTGAGGATTTAGTATTAGGAGTAATTGTATTTCCTTACAAGCTGTCATTCATACCCCCCTGTCCATTGAAGCGGTTTTTTCTAGAATAAATAAGAGAATTTATTCATAGGCCTCAGATTGTTTTGGGAACTTGTTTAGCCTCCCTTTCAATCTATATCACTAAAAAGTTGCCTTGGGCTTATAAGGGAGCCAGAAATCTTTTCTACCCACCGTCCCACACTGATTAAGGGGAAGGAACTTTATTCTGGTGGAAAGGAGATGTACTTAAATTAATGAGAATTTAGAGAGATCTCAGGAAGTGGAAAATACCATACTTCCTTTGAGATGTTGTTATCAAAGACTTTAGATTCAACAAGAAAGATATAATTTTCTAAATTCAAGGTCCATTACATTTTAAAAAATTCAAAATTAAATCTAAAGTTCGAGATTGATTATGAATATATTATGTTATTCTTATTTAATTTAATATTTTCACATTTATAATGTTACTATTTATAGTCAGAAGCTTTATCTTAACTTATTGATAATAATCTAATGTGGTAAAAATAAGAATTTTTTACGATTTTATTCTTTTTTTGTCGAATTTCATAAAAGTTTTCAATATTTTTTAAATTCTTTAATCTCAAATTTCCAAATAATATTGTATTTAGATTATTCAATACACATTTAAACTTAATTTCGCTAAATGATCATCTATTATATAGATAGAAATTAAAGAATACAATTAAAATCATCTCAATTCTAACTTTTCATACAAAGAATTCAAAATTTTACTTATCAATTCATAAATAGCTAACCATAGATCATTTGTTTAAAATCATTTTTGAATTCCAATAACAACTCCTCCTTTCTATTAGTCTATCTGATATTTTTAATAAAATGTATAACCAGGATTATCATAAATTTTTTCCCATTTTTTCTTCATTTATGAATAGAAAAATATGATAATGTTCTTTTTTATTTCTGCATAAGCTTCTTTTTTATTGAACCTGAATTTCAAAATATATTGTATTTTCTTTATCTTAAAAAATACTTTAATTGTTTTATAATTGATAAAAATAATATTTTTATATAATCTAAATTATTTAAAATAACTTTTTTCACTAATTTTATAAATTTACAAAAAAAGTAATATATTAATGATAAAGAAATAATACAATTCCAAAATTAATTATTTTTGAGAATACAATTATTATAGGTCTTAAGAGAGACTCATTTAAATAAATATTTATAGCTACTAAATAATATAATTAATCAGATTTTTTATTTTTTGCATTAGTTTTGGTTTTAGAAATCGTGTTTTTAGATAATAATAATAAATAAATAACTAAATGTAACCACCAATTTTTGAAAGTTAATTAGATCCTGAAGAAATGGAAACATGGCTTGCAGAAGTAGAATTAGTACATGATAAAATATAAAAATTGTCAACCGATTAAGTATATTTAATTAATAATTTCAAGGTGAATTTTAAAGAAGATGATGAAGAGATTATGAAGATAAGATAAAAACNTTTATTCTGGTGGAAAGGAGATGTACTTAAATTAATGAGAATTTAGAGAGATCTCAGGAAGTGGAAAATACCATACTTCCTTTGAGATGTTGTTATCAAAGACTTTAGATTCAACAAGAAAGATATAATTTTCTAAATTCAAGGTCCATTACATTTTAAAAAATTCAAAATTAAATCTAAAGTTCGAGATTGATTATGAATATATTATGTTATTCTTATTTAATTTAATATTTTCACATTTATAATGTTACTATTTATAGTCAGAAGCTTTATCTTAACTTATTGATAATAATCTAATGTGGTAAAAATAAGAATTTTTTACGATTTTATTCTTTTTTTGTCGAATTTCATAAAAGTTTTCAATATTTTTTAAATTCTTTAATCTCAAATTTCCAAATAATATTGTATTTAGATTATTCAATACACATTTAAACTTAATTTCGCTAAATGATCATCTATTATATAGATAGAAATTAAAGAATACAATTAAAATCATCTCAATTCTAACTTTTCATACAAAGAATTCAAAATTTTACTTATCAATTCATAAATAGCTAACCATAGATCATTTGTTTAAAATCATTTTTGAATTCCAATAACAACTCCTCCTTTCTATTAGTCTATCTGATATTTTTAATAAAATGTATAACCAGGATTATCATAAATTTTTTCCCATTTTTTCTTCATTTATGAATAGAAAAATATGATAATGTTCTTTTTTATTTCTGCATAAGCTTCTTTTTTATTGAACCTGAATTTCAAAATATATTGTATTTTCTTTATCTTAAAAAATACTTTAATTGTTTTATAATTGATAAAAATAATATTTTTATATAATCTAAATTATTTAAAATAACTTTTTTCACTAATTTTATAAATTTACAAAAAAAGTAATATATTAATGATAAAGAAATAATACAATTCCAAAATTAATTATTTTTGAGAATACAATTATTATAGGTCTTAAGAGAGACTCATTTAAATAAATATTTATAGCTACTAAATAATATAATTAATCAGATTTTTTATTTTTTGCATTAGTTTTGGTTTTAGAAATCGTGTTTTTAGATAATAATAATAAATAAATAACTAAATGTAACCACCAATTTTTGAAAGTTAATTAGATCCTGAAGAAATGGAAACATGGCTTGCAGAAGTAGAATTAGTACATGATAAAATATAAAAATTGTCAACCGATTAAGTATATTTAATTAATAATTTCAAGGTGAATTTTAAAGAAGATGATGAAGAGATTATGAAGATAAGATAAAAACGAATAGAAAGTGAAAAAAAGAAATAAGATAATCAAAAATAATTATAAATTTAGAAAGAGGAGGAAGAATTAAAAGGAAGAAAAGGAAAAGGATAAAATAAAGATTATGCTAATTTTTGCAAATATTGTTATTTAGAATACATAAAGCAGACAGATAAATGCTATTGGTGTAAAAGAGATACTTTGACTTAGGAATGTAAAATTTAATGAATAATTTAGAACGCTAGAATTAATTATTAGAGAAGGTTGAAAAATATAAAGAAGACAAGAATAGAAAGCAATAGAAGAAATAGAAATTTGAATTAATGGAGAAGACAGAGAAAATTTTATGGAAAAAAAGTACATTTACACATAGAAAATGGGAATATTATACTAGTTCAGAAGAAGAATTTGAATCTGAGCCTATCTTACCAAAAGATGATCCAAATTTCAAAGCTCTAGAATTAGATATGTAAGAGAGAAAGAAAAGAAAAGAGGAAGACATGAAAAAGGCAGAAGAATTAAAATAAAAAGGAAATGATTATTATAGTAAAGGTGATTTTGACTAAGCTGCTTGGAAATATTCTTAAGCACTTGAATTAGTGAAAGATAATAAGACTTTGTGGTTGAATAGAGCAATTGCATATATAAAATCAAATAAAAATAAAAAGGCTATAAATGATTGTACTAAAGTCATAAATTATGCTGAATGTTTTGAAAATGGTTATACTTAAAGCAAGGATAGCTGTTGCAAAGCATTTGCCAGGAGAGCATTGGCTTATTATAATAGAGATCGCTTAGAGGAAGCACTCAATGATATAAATCAAGCCTAAGAACTTATACCAAATGATAAATGGGTACAAGACTTAAAGAAGGAAATAGAAGCGAAAATTAATCATTATCAAAGGTTGAAATAGAATGAAAAGAATGAGAAGGATGTAGAAGAATTAACACAAGATAAATAAAATGAATAAGAAGATAATAATAATGCAGATAATATTAAAGATAAATAGAGAGTTATGGAAGAAAACCTTACTTATAAATAAATAATTGATAAATTTGTTGGAGAAGAAGAAATAGAACTTTTATCATTATTTAAAGTATTAAAGGTTGATTCAAGTGAATCTACTGCGTATTTTTATGAGAAAAATGGATTAAAATAACTCTTATCAATAATATCTAAAAACTAAGAAAAATTAAACGATTAATTAAATGTAATTATACTCATTATCATTAGATTTTGGCAAGTTTACCTGCTTTGATAATATAAGTTTATCAAGATAAAAGTCTATTGTATTAAGAATAATTTCTCATTTAATATAATGGAATTGAAGTTATTTATTAAAAAATTAAGTTTTTGTTGATTCAAGTTGACACTAAATCCTAATCTGCAATTTATGATATAATAGCAGATTATCTAGATGTTTTAAATGTAATGGGAGAGGACAAACCCAGATCTTTTATACAAAAGCATGAAATAATTAGAACTAAACTATATCCTGAATTATTTCATAGAATTACTTCTTTATATAAAACTGAAAAGGATTTGGTTGCTATATTTTTAAGTTTTTGCAGTAATTTATGTTATGGATAGGGAACACCCTTAAAGAATGTATTTTTTGAAAATAAAAATGAAATTATTGTTAAATTTATAGAGTTATTTGAAAAAGTAGAAATTAAATAAGCAAATATTAGAATGATGAATTAATTATGCAATCTATTGTCAAATTTGTTAACCGAAGATAAATATAGAATATATTTTTTATCAAAAGAGTTGAATCAAAATTTTTTTAAGTCTTATTTTAAATTTATTAAATCTATTTAATTTAAAGATAATGAATACAATTTGTTAAAAGAAAATGGAATTGCTATTTTGGTTAATTTAACATTTTAGATTAATTAAATTTAAACAGAATATGTAAGTAAAATAAACGATTTAATCCCTACTTTAATTGGGTATTTAGAGTCAGAAAAAGATAGTTTAGTTATAGAACGAGTATTAACAATATTGACTAAAGTCAATTATGAGGAGAACATCTTTATTATATCTAAATTTATACAATAATACAGTAATTAATCAATTCTATGTTTACTTTAATGGCTATCAAGGAAATCTTCTATTGTGGTTAATCAGTTAAAATAACAATAAATAAATCTATTTGAATTGCTTGAATAATTAAAATTATAATTGCAAAGTGATAATGAAATGATATATTGTAATTGTTGTAATTTAATTGGATAGATAATTGATCTATTATCTCCAATAAAAGGTGAGGTCAATGCTTGTTCAATTTTTAATCAAACAATTCCTAGATTGTTAAGTTTCGTAAAAGATAAAACTGGGAATTCTAGAAAAAATTCAGCAATACTTCTAGCAAAATTAACTAAAGATTAATGCAATTTATAGAAATTAAGGGATTTACATGGAATCGAAATCTTATAATCAGTTATTGGTAAATTGTGAATAGTATTATAATATATTATATAAATATTTAAATTTGATTATGCTCACTAAATAATAGAAATTACATGAGATAGTATCGTAGAGCATATTAAAACCGTAATTTTAGTATAATAATTAGATCCACTACAAAAGCTTCTTAAAAATTAAGTTAATCATTCAATCCTAATGGAATAATAGGATAATCTTTGAGTCCAAATTAAAAAACAAATTAAAGTATGGGATAAAAAAAAGGGAATCAAATAAAATAATATTAGCAAGAACTTCTAAAATTGATGACAAGTCATAAATAATTATCATCAGGAAATAAAAAAGCAAATATGTCAGATATGATGAGCTAACAAAAAGAAAGTAAACGTATTAATTCTGGTACAAGTCAACCTTAGAAATCATAAATGTCTAGCAAATAAAGTTTTGTTAATACAGGACTTACAATAATAGTAAATAATGAGAATCAATAAATTAAATTTAATATTGAATCTTCAAAAACTACAGGATGGTTAGAATAATATTTGAAATAGGAAATAAAAAAGCATTCAATACATTAATATTCATCAACAGGTTCTTAACCAGATGAAAGAAAAGTAACATGTGGTACTGGGAATGAATCTTCAGATTTAGAGATAGTCTCATTTCATACGGTTGATAAGAATCTTCCAGTAGATTATTATTTACAATAGCCTGATAAAAGTTTAGAAATTTTTAGTGGTTAAACATTGAATTTATAACCATTTTATGGAACTCCTTAATAAAGCAAGATAACACTAAAGGATTTTGTTTTTGTGAAATGTATTGGAGTAGGTGGGTTTTCAAGAGTTTATATGGTTAAAAAGAAATCAAATGGAAGATTCTATGCAATGAAATTAATTGATAAGGAATTTATTTTGCAAAATAAGAAATAAGGTATGATTAAAATAAATTTAAAAGGTATTGTATAAAATGAAAGAGATATCATGACAGTTCTTGATCATCCTTTTATTATTAAATTAGAATATGCATTTGAATCTAAGAATTTCATAGTTTTTGTGTTAGAATTCTGTAGTGGAGGAGAGTTATTTTGGTAATTAAGACAAGTAAAAAGAATGACAGAAGATTAAGCAAGATTTTACTTTACTGAAATATGTTTAGCTATGTTTTATCTGCATTCATTATCTGTAGTGTATAGAGATATTAAACCAGAAAATATTTTGATTGATATTGATGGTCATATTAGAATAGCAGACTTTGGATTGTCAAAACCCAATATGAATGAAGATGATTATGCATACAGTTTTTGTGGTTCACCAGAATATATGGCTCCAGAAATGTTATTGAAAGTTGGACATAATGTTTAAGTGGATCATTATTGTTTAGGAGCATTACTGTATGAATTAGTCACTGGATTGCCTCCATATTATTCTAGAGATACAGACGAAATCTATGAATCAATACTCAATGAAGAATTAACATTCCCTGAGAAATTAAATTTATCATCTGATATAAAGGTATATTCAATTTTTACATAGAATCTATTACAAGGTTTATTATGCAAACAACCATCAGAAAGATTAGGAGCAAATAAAGGATTGACAGAATTACTTACTCATTCTTGGTTTAAAGATGTGGATCTTGTTTCAATATTATAAAAGTAAGTACCTCCACCATTTAAACCAAATCAGTTCAAATTTAATTATGACTCAAATGATCTGATGAAAGGAGAATTAGAAACTAGAGAAAAGTTATTAGGCAAGACTGGTTTGCAATAAGAAATAAGAATATTTAAGGCATTCTATTTTGACTCTTAAGAACAAAAATAAATGAAATAAGAACAAGCAAAAATATTGAAATAACATTTCATGATGGTCTCACAATAATAATTGGCACTCAATTCCAAATTTAAACCACAAAGAAAATATACTGAATCTAAAGAAGCCAGCATCTCCTTAAACTCATAATAAAAAATAATAAAAACTCACTCCTGAGTAATTTTAATCTCTCTAAAAACGAATAAAATCTTAGTATAATTCTATTTCAATTTAGATAATCTTCAATCACAAATGTATAATAAGTCAGTTCTATTCCAAGTCCAGCTCAATCCACTGTTAAAGGATTGAAGCGAATCATTTCTCAAAACAATTTCTTTGCTGATAGACAAAATACATTGCCTAATGGATAAAAGGAATTAGATTATCATCAATTATTGTCTAATGTCTCTACAGAATAAATGCTTCATACAAGAGTTTCCTCTTTAAAATAAAGGAGAAAATGAATTACTCAAATAAACATTAATTATAATTTTGAATTTCCCTCTCTCAATATGAATACGAATACAGACTTGGATCAATTGCTATTCCAAAAATCTAATAAACCTTAATAATCCTAGAATCCAGATATTACAATTACTTCTTATAGCGATATATCAGATGGAACTCCAAATAAATAATCATTCAAATTTGCAACTAAAAAATAATAAGAAGAAATTCAGCCTTAAATGCAAGCCTCAAATTCAATTATGGAATCTATGACTCCAAAGAAAATCAATAAATTAATTGATTGGTCCAAATATAATGTTGCTCCTGGAAATGGGAAAAACATTTTCCCTTAAGTAGCAGGTATTAGTATTGAATTCTCTAATGAAAATTCATTGAATTTTAAGCAATAAATTAAAGTAAATGATGACAATTTCTCTCATAAATTCATTGAAATTGAATAAAAGTCAAAAGATTTCTCTAATATAGATGTATTGACTATAAAAAATGAATCATTAGAATAAAAAAAAAATGAATCTTTATAGAATACAATTTAATTAAAAGATCAAATAATAACAGAATTAAAAAATGAAATAATATAACTTTAATCATAAGATTAAACATTATAGCAAGAAATTGAAAAAATGTATAAAATACTGCACACTAAAGAAAAAAAAATAGAAAATTAAGAAATGTAAATATCTAATCTTACAACTCTAATAAAAAATGAATAACAAGATTAAAATATGTTATCTGAAATAAAAATAAAAGAAATTAAAAGATCTAGTGTTTTTGAAGTCAATACAAAATGTTAAAATTGTTTAGCTAGTAAACAAGAATTAAAAAACATTTTAAAAGAATGTTCTTTAGAAAATGAGTAAAGTATTCTTGATATTGAAAATGATTTGCCAGCCTAAATTCGAGAAATTGTCACTTTATTATTATCAAGATAAAGAGAATAAATTGATATAGCATTAGAATAATAAGATGAAATGATAAAAGAATTAACAGATTAAATTGAATAATATAAAGAATAAAAAACTTAAGTCTTGGAAGAAAATAATTCATTATAAAAAAAGATTTAATTAATATTTAATGAATAATAGGAATAAGAAAAGAATTTAATTGAAGAATTTGAAAAAATAAAAAAAATAAATTATAATCTGGTTTAAGAAAATTTTCAGTATAAATAATAATTATCTTTATCAAAAAGCAAAGACATAATTAAATAATCTATGGATATCGAAAAATTAAAAGGTTCTAATTCTATTTAATCAGATAAAAGTGAACTGTATAATGATATTAATTTAATGAAACAATAATTCTAAAGTCAAATTAAAGAATTACTTGAAAAGATATAAGAATATGAGAAGCAAATTCAATAATTAAAAGAAGAGTCCTTTTCAAAAGTATATTATTTTATTAATATAATAGAGTAATTACAAATTTTAGATTTAAAGCATTAAAGAAAAAGATAAAAAGAATATTGAATTATTCTCTTAAATAAAAATGCTTTAATAAACTCAAAAAGAAAATGAAAAGTCAATATTAGAATTAAAAGATGAATCAGAAAAATTAAAAAAGAAAGTCTAATTCAAAAATATTGAAGTTAAACAATATATTGAATAAAATAAAATATTTTAAGATAAGAATGCCGAGTTGAATAGTAAAATTATTCAATTACAATAATAATTAATTTAATTAGAATCAAATCATAAAGACTTTAGGTAATCACCAAAAAGTAGAAGTTTAGAATAAAGTCGAGTTATTAGTTAATATTTATAGCCAAATCTAAATCACCAATAATTAAATCAATTAATTAATGAGTACAAAAGTTATCAATAAGAATTTATAGATTTAAAAGTAGTCTTTGCATAAAAAATAAAATAACATGAAATCTTATAAAATGTATTTATCTATTTATTATTATTAGAAAATACAAAAATTATAAAATGATAATTTCTCATTAAATCATCTTAATTAAAAACTTATTAATGAAAATAACAAAATTAAAGAAGATAGAATTATTACTAAAAGGACTAGTGAAGAATTTACAACTGGTGTCAGATGGTCTGCTGCTACTGGAGAATCAATACACATGAAGACTTTTATTTAATAATCTGATGATGATAATGAAAAGAAAAAATAATTTAATATTTTAGAACTTATGTAACCTGAATTATTATCTACTGAAGAGACTATTCATATTCTAAAAGAGATTTTAATAAGATCTGTAAAATCTCTCGAATTAATTAAGAAGATTTATTAGATTTCAGAGATTAAAGAACTTTTAGTTATATTTTTGAAAATAGATGAAAAATGTTTAATATCCAACTCAAAATTGAATAAGATTATTAGTTGTGTCTTAGAAGAAAAAAGAAAATTATAATAGACAAATAGAAATGAGAAACCAGATTTTTTTAATTCTTGATTGTATTTATAAGTATCAATATTTTTTTTGGATTTGTTTTCCATTTTATAATTACTTATCATTTGTTTATTTTCTTTATATTTGCATTTTACTATCTCTTAGTACAGATTCAATATATTTCTTATCTAAATATTTGATAAAGAAATCCCTTTAATCTGTTTAATTTCCATTAGGGCCTTAATCAATGTATTATTAATATTAATTTTTGATATTTTTAATTATGATAGTTGTTTCCTAAAATATTTCTTGATTTATTTAATTTAAACTTGATTGGTCTTTCAGTTGTTTTTAAGGTGAATAAAATTAAGTTGCTTTTGATGATAATTCTTAAATATTCTCTAAGCTTTGATCTTGACAATTTGCTAAATAAATGTACACATGATGTTTTTCCTATTCTCTATATTTAACAATACCTTTATTTTTAGTTTAGGGTTTAATCTCATCTTTAATTGTTGAGTTTATATTTCAGATTATTACTCAGTTTATAAAACCTATGGATTTAATTGAATTGCTGGAGGGATCAATAAACTAATAAAAAGGAATATAATATACATTCCTTCATCATCTCCATTTTCACCATTTTCTGCATTTATTGGCAATTCTAAATTATCCTGTGATTTTTATGGCGGGTTTGGCTAATAATTATATATACATATGATATATTACTTTTATGCGCTTCTTTTTTAAAGTGGCAACCTTTGTAAATCTAAATTTAAAAGAAACATACGTCCTCAATGCGCTCTTATTCTTATATGCGTTATAAATATTGTTTGATTTTCCTTTCTTCTCTTGTTGATGGTTATTCATTATTTAGGGATTGCGCATACACTTTTGGAATAGCTACTAATTCAGCTGGCTTTATAGTTTTCTATTATTATTCATCCTAAGAAGATAGCTAACTAGAGTTTTCTTGACTTTCAGCCTTCTAATTTTAATCACTCATATGTATAAATATTTATAAAATAAATATGTTGTTAAATTTGTTATCTAATAATCATACTTTTAAAAGGAAAAATTATTATTATTATGATTAATAAAAATTATGAGAATATTATTATTTATTAGTAACTTTGAGATACTAATAAATCATTATTATTTTATGGAAAATATTTAATGATTGTAAGAAAATATTTCTAATCTCTATATAATGATTGATCTATATCATAATGCATCAACTAATCTTAGCTAAAATCAAAAAAAAATTCAAAAATTAATGTATGTATCATGGAAAAAAATAATAATATCATCATTAATATTTATAATTTGCAAAATTTTATAATTCCTTTAGAACATTTTCTATGAGTAAAAATCAAGAATTACTTAATTAATATATTTGAAAGTTAATCAAAATGATAAACATATAACTTTGAATTAACAGTGCTTGATTTAATTTTATATATCTTAACTCACTTAAAGCATCAAAAAATAGTGCCAGGTAATCTCAAGTCTAATTTTTTTTTAAATTTCATTCTTTAAACTAGCAAAATTTGTTTACTTTTAAGTATTGTAGGAAGTTTTCTAATTATCAATATTTATAAAACAATAACATATTTGAGTATTATTGTGATATCAATTAATAAAATGAGTATATATAATTAATATATAAAGATGATTTACAGATTTCTGGAGGACGATAATTGAATTGTATCAATATCTAGTTATTTTGAATTTTTTTTTGAGGATCAATTTCATTTTCTTCTTTAAGGTTTATTGAATTTTGGATTAGGGCTTATTAAAATAGGTCTTATTTCATTTTTTGTAGAATATTATCAATTTGAATTCTAAATACATAATCTTTTAGTTTTGTCAATAAGTTTTGCATCTGTCATCTTTAGTGAGGGAAAGATGATAAGTGAGAAATGTTTATATATGCATCTTTCATAATGTTCTTTGCATTAGATTTAAGCAAATATAAACAACAGTTGAAGATTTTTTGGTATAATGTCTAAATTTAACTTTTGGTTTCATTAATAATTTTTGGTTAAAATCCATTATGGTACTTTAATCCTCTTTCCTATCTTTTAAAGTATTACAATTAAACTATCTTTAATTTTTGACGAGTAAGTTATTCATCAGGCGTGTTCTAAGGTAATTTTAACAGTTTTTAAATATATTCTTCCTCAGTCTTATAATTTTTTGAGAAATTTATTAATTATTAAAGTATGAGGCAACAGCACATTACAGAAAATAAGGTTCAATACATATTCTATAGCGAAATACTCTTTGTGAAAATTTGGTAGTTCTGGATATGAAGCAGAGTTAGTAATTAAAAAAGTTTATCCTAGCTGCTAGATTTTCAGATATGATGCTGAACAGTTCCTTCATTATTGATGACTATCCCTAAATATTTGTAGGTTAAAACATTAAGGAGTTTACACATAGTTTAGCATTTAATTTTGTGTTTTATTGGGGCAGATATTTTGTAATATCATTAAGTAGGAAACCTAGGTTTCTGTACTTTGTTAGTACCAAATCATCACCATATTCTAAAAACTCAAAAGTATTTCAGTTTTTTGGATCAAATTTTTAAGGAATTCA